AAATCCGGAAAAATTGCCACGTAGAAAAGGCGCCCGCTGCCGTGGCCTAGGTTTCTCACTGAAAATCCTCGTCCCCCGGCGGCACCTTTTTTTGAATTTTCTTCCTTTTCAACGCCGTTTTTCGGGAATTTCGGATTTTCTTTGAATTTTTTCGCAATAATATTTGAAAAATAGATAAATTTTAACACATTTTAATGCAATAAAAATTTCTGGTCGGAGTCCCCCTTTAATGCTAGATTTCTAAATTTTCAGGAAAACCTACACCTACCCCAACTATAACAATATTACAAATATGGGCGCATCTGGAAAAAATACTGTATTTGGACCAAACCGTTTCAGTGGAGCATTTGATTTGGATGGATTCATGGAGGATGATAATTTGGAATATAATTATTGAATAATTTAATAAATCTAATTTTGGCATCTTTTTTTGGTTCAGAATGTCAGAAATTCAGATATTTAGAAATTCGAAAATTCGAAAATTCAGAATATGAGAAACTTAAAAACTCAAGTATTCAAAAATTCAGAAACCCTCATTGTTTTTTTTCTGAATTCGGAAAAACATATTTTTTTTTGAAATTTTTGAACATTTGGAAGTTTTCGAATACCGTATTTTCTCTAATAGAAGCCCATCCTCCGACGTGCTTAAAATCATAAAAGCGGAACCTATCACAGATGTTATACCGCCCTAGTTCTGACCGTAAACGATGCCATCTCGCGATTCGGAGGGTTTTTGCCCTGCCGAGGAGCTATCCGGAAACGAAAGTCTTTCGGTTCCGGGGGTAGTATGGTTGCAAAGCTGAAACTTAAAGAAATTAACGGAAGGGCACCACAAGGCGTGGAGCTTGCGGCTTAATTTGACTCAACACGGGAAAACTCACCCGGTCCGGACACCATTAGGACTGACAGATTGAAAGCTCTTTCTCGGTGGTGCATGGCCGTTCTTAGTTGGTGGAGTGATTTGTCTGGTTTATTCCGATAACGAGCGAGACTCTAGCCTGCCAGGTGTTAGCTCAATCGGTTAACTTTGAATGGGTTAACCGTCACGCGACATACATACGCACATACGGAATCTGGTGAATGTTATTAGTAATGATTCGGTGATAAAAAAGAACACTTGATGCACAGAAATTGAACGTTTCAATGTTTATTTAAAAATATAAATACATTAAATAAAAATACATAAATAATAAATATAATAATAAATATAAATACATTTTAAAAATATAAATACAAAGCTTAAAACTTACCTTCGTCACATATAGTACTTTAAAATGAAATTGATCGAGATATTGGAAAATTTTTGTTCATAAGCTATAAAAGATTCCACGTGATGTTTTGAAAAATTGGCAACATGGATTTTTATTGATTTTCCGTCGAAGAAAAATTTTCTTCTTACTGTTTCAAAAAATGGATAATGTTTTTGGAAATTCAAGTTTTTTATTGAACAGTATGGACATTTGTGGAATTTCTCAAACTTTCGAAAATTCGAAAAAGTTTCGAAAATTTTTGGATATTTTGAAAATAGTATTATTTTGTAGTACTCGTTGAATTCTATCATCTATAGTTCTGCTGATTCGAAAATATTGATTTTATAGAAAACTATGTCAATTTCGAAGGAATTCAAAAAATTTGAATTTCCAGAAATTCCCAAGTAATTTGGTTTTTTTGGCAAGTTTCAAAAATATTACTTTTTACAAAAAATTAATTTTACTTTTGAAGTTCTAGATTTTTCATTGTGCACAAGGCAGTAATGAATTGTAATTGAACCGAATTCAAAAAAATGCCATTTTTTGAAAAATTGTATTGCATTTCAAAATATTCTTGAAAAAATTTGTGAAAAATTTCAAACTTGAAGAGAAAAAATCAGTGTTTCATATAAGCTTCAGATTTTTCTCAGGATTCAGAATTATCAATACAGCTATTGAGCAGTATGTCAATGGTTAATTGGTTTATAATAATAATAACGATTTTCATTCAATAATTTCCAAAATAAAAAAGATAAAACAAAACTACAGTAATACCAGGGAATTTGTCACAGGTTGATTGGGGTGGGAGGGAAATTTTTAGGGGAAAATACCCGCAAGATTCACAAAATTTGGATTTTTAGTATAAAAAATTATTTGAAAAACAAAAAAGGCAGAATCGTATATTGATTTTCCATTACTGTGGAGATCAAAAAATGTCGGGTTTCGATTCGTGTCGAGGGGCGGAGCTTGTGGTGGGTAGTTCTACTGAAAAAGAATGATTACTGTAGAAATTGATAGGATGAAAAAATTACGAAAAAAATTCATGAAAAAGGTATAAAAACACAAATAAACACACAAAAATCATGCAAAAATGACTGAAAATCTTCAAGAACTCATGTCATTTTCAAAAAACTTTATGGGTTATAAACGATTCAGATACATTGTATTATCTATTTTATTTGCAAATTGATATTTTCTTGTGTAAATGATTACTGTAAGAATAGAAGGGCCCTTTAACTTGGCATTTGAACCAATTTATCTCGGTTCCTGTAAATGAAATCGAAAAATTGTTAACTAACAATTTGCTGACAAATTTTTGATATCTTTTGTAGGAACGGAGATAATTGAGCTCAAACTTGACAGTGTGAAAGTCCCTATGACTCTCTATGACGTTTTATGGTATTTGTTTAATCAATATCATTTTTCAGACTGCTTCAAAGTTTTTATTTAAATTGTAGCATATTGCTCCGTAAATTCTATATATCTCAAAACTCTTAGAGGATTACTGTTTCAAAATTCTTACATCTGTTTAACTTCAACTAATGTTCTAGTTCAATTGATAGGTATTTTTGGTCATTTTCAACATTTTCGAGAGTCTGTAGCTCAGCTGTCAAGTTTCCGATCGCTTTGAAAATTTTGGATAGTGTGAACAGGCATAGATTGAAAACGTTGCATTCACAGAATTGTTTGGAAAATTCCGTATTACTGAAAGACATCCCTTCTGGGCCCGTTCTTTTACCGAAAATCTGAAAAAAAGGGTGTCTTTCAGAAATCGACAAATAGCTGAAAAACAAGAACATTTCGGAAAATTCTGTGAATGCAAAGTTTACAATCTATGCCTGTTTTACTCCCTCCAAAGTTTTCAAAGTGATCGCAAACTTGAAAGCAGAGCTCCAGACTCCGGAAAAGGAAAAAATGGGCATACGATATTACAGAATTCGAAAACTTGATAAATTCATGAAAAACTTAGATTCCAAATCAAAAACAAATTTCTTTCAAAAATTGCACTAGAGCATTCGCTGAATTTTAAGAATTTTGAAACAGTAATTTTTTAAATACAGTACCGGTCAATAACACATGTACGAAAAAGTATTTTTCAGTGGATTTTCGGTCATTTTGACCATTTTCAGGAGTCTGGAGCTCTGCTTTCAAGTTTCCAAGCAGGTAAACATTTTTTTTTTGGGGGGGGGGG